TTCATGCATAAAATCTCGAGAGGAGAATGGAGGACAAGGGATTGTGGCATGGTCATCCCACCTAAGGGTCAATATCTTGCTTTCTGACTCTCCGGTGAGCACATGTACCCTATAGCAAAAATCTCTCTTAAAGACAGACAGACTCCAGAAAGAACCAGGCAGCAATGGTCTCCTGCATACATGCTTAATATTGAATTTCCACCTCTGTATACAGATTTTAACAATGTAGCAATTTTGGTATAGGCTACCCAGCATGCAAATCCTGTCAAAAATTTTCTTGCCTTTGATTTCATTGAGTAGTTTAGAAAGCCAATTAGTTTCTCTACAGACAGTGGAAATTTGTGTCCAGTTAAATAATTAGATTAGACGGGGAAACCAGTTCATTTACTTATTTACTTTTGTCAATATATGAAAGGAAATTTTATTATTTTATTACATAACCTATTAGTGAACACACTACATGGGATTTTCATAAAGGACAAGGGAGGCACATTTCTGATTCCTCCTAGAACCTCGGTGTCATCTGTGTCTTTTGGAGGATCCATCTTCTAACAATGTCTGTGATACTGTCCATGAGGATAACAGTGGTGCTTGGTAGTAAAGAACATTTTGCTAAGTTCTTCTATGTTGAGTCTATCTTGACAACTGTTCTCCATGTATTGGCGGCCATCTTAATGTCAGCCTATGCAACCAGCACTGAGAATCATACAGAGACAAAGATGTGGTGGCGCCTCTCAGGCACAAGTAATTCTTCTGAAGTACATGCACTTATGACCCTGCCATTGCGGTTGAGTGCCTAGCAATCCCTCTGTCAGGTGTACCTTATGAAACTTGTTTACTTGTATAAAAACTCTGCTGCCAGGCTGAGGGGCACCAGACCCTTACTTGAGTGGTCACTATGACAGAACTTAACCTCTCAATAAACTTCTTTCCTATCCCTTTCAACATTTGGCTTCACATTCCTTGGCCTGTTCCTGATATAACATTCTATCATATGTCATTGCTCAGGTCTTCACTTCTCTCTTCTGACCTGGATTTCAGCACTTGATCAAGTGTTTCTCCATGATTGCTCACAGGATCTGGTCTAGATGTAGGTTTTGTGTGTTCATAGGGAATGTCCACAGATGGGTCACAGCACACTATCGTCCTGCCATCATATATCAAAGCAGGCTCCACTTTGCAGTTATAGTCAAATGGAAGAGGAGAACAGTTAGGCTTATAATAAACACAATATAAAGCTCCATTTGGGGATGGAAAAAAATGTTTAAAGATAGTTCTCTTTCATTTCACACCTTTTATCGCTACTGTCACGGTGTGGCAAGATGCTTCTTAGGGGGGCTGGCAGGGGGCATGGGGGTTAAGGGCACTAGATTCACACATGTCCAACCATGGTTCAAGTACCAGACCTGGCAGCTTGCTTTCTCGCTTTTTCTCTCTCTCACTCACTCTCTGTCCTGCTCTGGTCAAATTCAAATAAGTAAAGTTAAAAAGCAATTATAAAAAAATTAAAAGATGCTTCTTAGGTGGTACATAAAAAGTTGTTCCAAAGAGAAATTGCTTTTAAAATCTGGTTTTAGGTAGACTACTTTTAAACCCTTAATAGTAACTGTGAGCCTACCAACTTTCTGGACTAGAAAACTAATCAGCTTAAATGATTAGATTGTCAATCAAAAAACCAATCAGCTTTTCATACCCAGTTAAATGATTAGACTATCAGTTAGGAAACCAATCAGTTTCTCCATGGAAAATGGAAATTTTTACCTAGTTAATGATTATATTCTCAGAAAACTTTACTTGTAAGACCCCATTCTTTTAACATGTTAGAATGATAAGACTGTGGTTACTTTGACATCATATTCTCCAGAGAACGCTTTTTTGAAGTTTCTCATAACCAGAGCAAGAGGGGAATCTAATTAGAGCCAATTTCCTTCCCCAAGACAGAAGGGACAGGCCTTGAGCACAGACTGGGGCAGAAACTAATCAGCCGAGAGCTCAAGGACACAGGAGTCTCTTGGACATGTGGAGAAATTCCCCTCCTTGTGACAGAAATGCAAGTGTGGACCCACTCAGACCCCACAGTCTGTGGGGTCACAGAAACTCACACACATTCACGCAGGCACTCCAGTTTATCACAGTGTCTTCCTCCCTTTGGGCGAGTCCCAAACTGATGGCCCTGATAAGGGGACCTGTGCAGTGACATGAGCTAACAGCCCCTGCAGGGGACCATACAGCAACCAGAACTCAGAACTACTGGCTCAGATGGAAGACCATGGGAGGGGATCAGGGGCTCCCTTCCAACCAAATGGGGCAGACCTGACTGGATTCCTGAGTCCTGTGACTTTACCTTAGCTGGAGGTTTTGGCATATGAGTTGACTTGATGTGTTCAGCCTGAGTTGGTCTGGTTCTCTTTTGAGTACAATGGGAAGTGGTTCTCCTCAGGGCATCAGGGCCCCCGATGAAGGAACACCTGAAAAAAGACCATAGTAGCCGCCTCATTCAATTGTGGGGCCCCTTCATTCATGCAGGCCCCTCCCACCAAGTGGTGGCTCAAGGGAACAGCATGGTTGGTTTCCTAGTCAGGGAACCAGAAATGTTGCAGGAAAACCAGGCCAAGGAGAAGCCAAGGCCACTCAGCCTAGGAGAACTCAGGTCTAGAA